CCCTGACCTCCTGCTTTTCTGCACTGGGCTAGAGGATCCTCAAGGAGAAAGTAGGTGGGAGGCTGGGGTGATGTGATGCTTTGTCCTTTCTCGGTGATGACCTCTTCCCATCTTGGCCTGGTGCAGACAAGGATGAGGGTGACCACCCCAACAACAGCTTCAGCCCCTGCAGCGCCCATGACCGCAGGTGCCTGCAGAAGCACTTTGCCAAAATGCGAGACCGGAGCACCAGCGGCGGCAAGATGAAGGTCATCGGGGCACCCCGGGAGGATACCCGGCCTGTGGTGAGGACCTCAGACCCACAAATGTGCATATGCTCGTGTGCATGCACACATATATCCCACCACCAGCACCCCCAGGACCCCCAGATCTGGACTGTGTTCATTCAGCAAACCTTGTTTGGACACCTCCTGTGTGCAAGGTGCACGTAGTGTGTGTCATCAGGACCCAGAGAGGGTCCTTATTCTTTTCCTTGCAGTTCCCTTCCTGCTTATCAGTTATATACATTGGTACAGCTGGATTGGTTGTTAAATACTGAAATTATTCCATTCTGGCTGGTGAAAAGCTCTCTGGGGTTTCCTGGCTCTTCTCTTAGATTCTCCATCCCAGACCTTCTCAGTAACTAAAGGGTTAATGCTGGCATAGCTGGGGGCCTTGGGACCCCGTTCCCATGGTCTGGCTAGTGTCCTTTTGGTTGGGGGGTAGCTGTTAATTGTGTGAGTTTGTCTCTATCCTTCCTGCTTAGAAATCACCCCCTCCCTGGTCCTCCCCATGGATTCTCACAGCCCCTTTACCCACATAGCCCCTCACTTCATAGCTCTCTGGTCCAGAAGCTCTTTGGCTCAATACTCTTTCCTCAAGTCCTTCTGCTTCCCTCTCCCCATGTCCTCTGAACCATACCCTACCCCTCACTTCCTTGGGTCCTGCCCAACCCACAGGCCTGGGCTGCCTTTGCAGGGTCTTCAGCCCCCACCCAGCTCCGATCCCAGGCCTGGCCCCCCTGCCTCTCTCTCCTCTGCTGAGCAGTTTCCTCCTCCCACTCCCCCAGCCCCAGGGTTCCTGCCAGAGCGAGCTGCACCGGGCCCTGGAGCGGCTGGCCGCCTCGCAGAGCCGCACCCATGAGGACCTCTACATCATCCCCATCCCCAACTGCGATCGCAACGGCAACTTCCACCCCAAGCAGGTGGGTCTCCAACTCCTGCCAGCTCAGCCCTGGCCTCTGCTCCAGGGGCATTTCCAGCCTCCCCAGGATGGTCCAGGATGGCATTCTCAGGAAGGGAAGACTTCCTGCCCCAAACCTAACTCCTTGAACCCTACCAGGCCCCAGAACCTCACTGACTTTGGAGATGTGGAAAATGAGACCCAGTGAGGAGTAACAGGGCCCATCCTGACCCTGAGTCACAGAGTCACAGAGTCACAGAGTGGGTTAATGGCAGACCCTGTCTTCCCACCCAGGGCAGTTTCCCTCACTGCTGATTTACTCACTGTCTGTGGTGTAGACCCGGCCAACCTCCAGCTCCCAATGCTCTCTGGCTCACCCTGCTCTATTCCTGCAAGTTCCTCCTGTCCCTGAATGTCTGGGATTTCATCTGGGAACAAAGGGCCTAAGTCATGAGGGGTCAGGGAGGAAACTCAGCCCCTTCCCCCACCTGGTGTGTCAAGAAGGATGAAGAGGAAGCCAAATGGGATGACTGAGACAGGCACTTTGAGTAGAAGGGGAGGAAGGAGCAGGCGGTAGAGAAGGCATAAAAGCAGCAACCTCCATATCCCTTCCCGCCCTCAGAACCTGGGATCCCTTGATGAGCTCCCAGGAGGTTGGGTTGTTGGGTAGGGGTGGCCTGTCTGGGTAGAGCGCTAGGGTACCTGGTGCTGGGGGCAACCTGGAGAGCTCTGGCCTGGATCTGCTTCTCCAGGTCTTTGTGGGTATAGACTCCCCCCGCCCCCACCATGCACTGTGGACAGATCCACAATGTGATGTGCTGCTGAGCTGGGAGAGGTTTCACTAGGAGGACAAAGGCTGCCCTGGGTGTTCATGAGCCAGAATGAAATGAAGAGGGAGAAGCAGAGAGTGCCCCCTAAAACCAATGTCCTCCTATCTCCAACCTTTATCCCAGCACCAATTTTATCTTTGGCCCAATTATTTTTGTGTGTATATATATATATATA